CATGCAATGGAAGGTATCTTGTAGGCTTTTCCAATTGCATGTCAATGAAGAATACAATATCATTGTCATTCTCGATTAGTATGGGATACTCTTTGATGTCTTACATGTACTTCATAGACAAAGACAAATTGTATCGGCTATTGTTGACATGTAGTTCTTGGTATAATAACTTCAAAAGGTCTTCACAATTCATTTCTTTAGGTATTCAAAGTGCTTTTGTGTTGAATTCTACATACTTATGTGCCCCAATACTCAAGGTCTCGCAACATCCTTCATAGGGGTGAGTAGCACTGAGTTCCCTACAATTTTTGGAGGAATTGAAATCAGACTGGAACCAGAACCGGAATCAACCAGTTCCTAAGATTTGGAATCGGAACCGAAACCGGTTGGTTCTAGTTCTTAGGTTCCTAGAGCCGAAACCTGAAATGCAGGTTTTGGTTCCTTACCGGGGTCTTATTAAAATTTTAATTACTCCCTATTAATTTAAAAAATGACAAATACACCCAAGAAATTTATAAATACACCTCTAACAGTTTACAATATTATAATATTATAATTCTAGAGTGAAAATGAACTTTTTGAATTTGCCCATAAGTTAAATTAACATTAATTGTGACAAAAGAATCAAATTAAATATTAATATTAATATGATTTATGAGTCTTTAGTTAAATAATTAGTATGACTCTAAGTTTATTTTATATCATTAATTTAAGTTTGATTACATAACACTTACTTTTCTTAATATACCATGACTCCATGAGTTGTCATATTATAATGTTATAATTAATTAAATACCTAATCATTTAATTAATTATTGTACTAATGTTCATCAATTTATCATATATAATTACTAATTTATTATAGATATGCTTAGAAGTTAGAACTTGATAAATGAAGTAAATATTATGTAAGTATAATACTATTTTATTAAAAAATAATTCTCTTAATAACATATTAAAATATTTTTAATTGGATTCTAATTTCAATTATACACTTAATTAACGTTATAATATCTTTTTTTAACATTATAATATTTAATATACAATAATATTATACTTGTAAAGAAATCTTATTAAGATTTCCATACAAAATGAGGAGGCAACAAATGAATGAAAGAATTAAACAAAAAGTCAAACTCATTATATTCATTTTTCTATTTATTTTTTGTCACATCACTTTGTACGAAGATCTTTATAAGATTTGTTTATAAGTATAACATTCTCTTTAATATAATGTATGTAATGACCAAAGTGGGGGCCTCCACCGACTTCACCACGTCACCCACATGGGTTCATTCTATTTTGAATTTTTATATGCAAAATTACAATATACCCCCATTCTTTACTGATATTATTCTAGTCTCGGTTCCAAGAGAGGTTCCATCCCGGGTACCCGATCTTGGTTCCCATTCTAGGTTTCGGGTCCGGTTTCAGTTCTTACACACACAGGAATCGGAATCGAAGCCGCACAGTGGCTGTTACCGGAATCTACTCTGTAACGGCCAGTTCTGGGTAAGTTCTGGCTCTGATTCCAGGTAAAACCGTTACCTATGCTCAACCCTAGTCCTTCATACTTCACAAAAACACAAGCAAAGTTCCTGATTTTGTTGAAAAACCAAAAAACGTAAGTCAGGGTTACTCAAAACACATTTTTATGATGAAGAACTATAAGTAAACAACAAAGCTACGGACACCGAAAATTTTGCACCAAAAATGTGTACCGGCCTACGTGTACGCATGACTCGATTTTTTTATGAATATTTTTCTAGTGAACGGTCGTCTATCAAATATGGACGGCCATTCACTCACATGGAACGGGGGTCTATATACGACAGATGGGCGTCCCAATTTAAAGGACGCCCGTCCATAAATAAAATACAATAAAAAATTTTTATAAACATTTGGGACGGCCGTTCATCTGTTATGGACGGCCGTCCTTTTATTTTGGACGGGCTCCCGCAAATAAGGGACGCCTGTCCTTAACCAAAATATGAAAATTAAAAAAAAAAAACTTTGAGGACGACCGTCCATAAATTTTGGATGGCCGTCCCTTACATTTGGACGGACGTCCGTAAGTAATGGACGCTCGTCCATTATGTATGGACGGTTGTCCATAATGATTGGACGGTCATCCTTTACAAGCCATCCATTATGTAAAGGATGACCGTCCATAAGGAATGGACGGCTGTTAACTGTTCTTCCCTCTGAGTTGGAACAACGATTCCGCAAACTTAAATCCTTTCCTGCAACTAATGCGAAAGCTGAATCCTCCGAGGAGAAGTCTCTTCAGCGTTCTAAGTTGAACGACTCACGGGGAGAGTGTGAGTAGGAGTAGAGCCGAGATGGGAAGCTAGGTTTGGAGAAAAAATCTAAGCTTGGTTACGATTCTTTAACGGAAAATGAGATTTTCTCGGACTCCAAGCAAAATCCCGATGGGAAATATCTTAAGGAAAAATCCAAACGAGGGTCATCCAAATCGTTTTCTTCTCCATTGAGTTGTGCAAATTCATCACGGGGTTTGCCTTCCCCGCCTCGAAAGAGCCATGGATTTGAGTTGCAGAAGGTTACTATTTTTAGTCGTCCTTGCGTTCACTCTTTCAAGCAAAGGGTATTCACAGCCTCTTGTTACTTTTGGTGATTCTGTAGTTGATGTTGGTAACAACAACTATATTCCAACTCTTTTCAAGGCCAATTACCCACCTTATGGAAAAGACTTCGTCAATTATCAACCCATTGGTATCAGTATCATGGTATCAGTATCCATGGCTTTTTCCTGCTAGATGGCTTTTTGTCGAGCTTTATGCCTATGATGGCTATGATTACTCTTCTTCTTTCCTTTCTGAAAATTATCTTCTTTTCTTTTCCCTCAACATTCTTCTCTGAACCTTTGTGTCTTCTCTCTTTACCATGACTTCTATGGTGTTTGCTTTTTCTTGAGCTAGTATTGCCTTGACCAGGCATCTCCTCACCACTAATATTCTCTGATTCTAGAGGAAGATCAATATTCTTCTCCTTCCCTTTTCTCCTGCTAGATTGCTTATCAGACTAGTTAGTTAGTGATGAAGCAGGTACAACTTCATTACCTAAAAGAACATCCCGCATTGCACTTTCTCTACGTGGTAGCAGTATCCATGTTTAGAATTTTTTTTTTTTTTAAAGTATGGTAATGGACGCCGGTCCAAACATCAGGGACGGGCGTCCATTCATAGTGGACGCTCGTCCAAACATAAGGGACGGCCGTCCAAAATTTATGGACGGTCGTCCCCAAAGTTTTTTTTATTTTCATATTTTGGTTAAGGACGGGTGTCTCTTATTTGCGGACGGCCGTCCACCGTCCATAACAAATGAACGATTGTCCCAAATGTTTATAAATTTTTTTTATTATATTTTATTTATAGATAGACATCCTTTAAATGAGAATATCCGTCCTTCTTATGTAGACCCCCGTTCATATAATATGGATGAGAGTCTATATGGGTGAACGATCATTCATATTTGATAGATGGTGTTCACTAGAAAAATATTCATAAAAAAATTGAGTCATGCATACACATAGATCGGTACATATTTTTTGTGTTGTTAGCTTTGTTGATAAATAAAATGGAATTAAAAGCAAAAAAAATGACAACGATTGACAGTGACCAATATGAGGTGTCGTTCATTTGGACAAAACCCATGTTGACCGACACTAACCTACATCCCTCTATCCGTCACTTATTGGTCAATAACCCTAGTGTGACCGACAGAGAGGTGTCGCTCTAGTTGTCTTCAACCTTTGGATTAAATTTCGACTGAATCTGATTAACATACTTGGGCTGGTTTTCATTTTCAACCTATTCTTTCAATATATGCCTTTGTGGGCTTCCCCCAAACCCCCACACCCCCACCCACAACACCAACCCCCCCCCCCCCTCTTCAAATTTCTCTTATTTTTCAGGCTATCATGATTTAGTGGTTTTAATATTTAGTAGTTTTTAATCAATTGGGGTACTTTTAATGTAGCACTTAAAATTTTATATCAATTAATATGGACATTGTTTATAAGAAAAAAAAAAAAAAAAAGGTGAGGCATTTATCTAGTTTGATAATTAATCAGCTATTCTAAAAATATAAATTTAGTATAAACTTTATCTTATCTCAAGTAATATGATGTGATCATATTATACATTGTATTAGATAACACATTTATTATCCAATACAAAATATAATATTATACTATACAATACAAAATATAATATTATACTATACAATACAATACAACATAATAAGTGTAACTTTCTTTTCATAATTTTTTTTTTTTTTAAATGTTTTGTGAAAAATTTAATAACTTTGTTATGTATAAGATGAATAGATGATAGATTGGACGGGTTTAAAGGGATCTTCATGTTCATATTATTTTATATAAATTATATTGGTTATCTTCCTTCAGTTCACCTGTCACTTTGAAATTCCATAGATCAATTTGTTTCATTTAACAAAAGCGTAGATGAAAATTTGGCCTAACAAAATGTGGTTAATTGAAAGAAGAAGAAGTCCCCTTGTTTTGATCAATCTCTAACAAAATCAACTTTATCTTCTTCTTCATTCTTCACAACCGCCTCTACTCAAGAACAAATTTACTTGACTTCTATAAATGTTGCCATAATTAAACTACACATTTTGACCCAATTTCTGAGAACGGAAAACCCCACATCCAAGCAACCCGGATTCCGTTCTAACCGCCATGCAAATCTACAGAATTTGAGAAGATAGCTTTTGGGAATTGGCGTATAAGTTGGGTTACAGAGTTTTGGATTACTCAGGTTGATATTGATTGACCAAACAGGAAGCAAGAAGCTTCCGCCATTGTCCCACCTGTGAATTCATGAATGCATGTGATAATATACTTTGATTCCATTCAAAGAGAATGGAAATTCATGCATTTTGGTGAATCTTTGTCGCCTGTTTGCTAGTTAATTTTGGGAAAGCAAGTTTAATAATGGAAGAAAATTGAGGGGAGATGTAATTTATTCTTTTCTTCCCCTAAAAGCTTTCGCCCATTTCCTGTTTTCGTGAGCTTCAAAGAAAGCTTATGGTTCTAGTCTTGTTCACAATCCATTACTTTCTCTAGGAGAAAGATAGAAGAGCAGAATATTTAAGGGAATTTGCAGAATGCAGAATGTAATCAAGGAAAAGAGGTATCCATTTCCCTCAGCTTTGAGTTTCTTTATTAATTTTGGAGAATTTAATATTTGCTGTGTGCTAGGTTCAGTTCGTTGAATAGAAATTGTTTATTCTGAGAATATGATTTGAAGAATCAAAATCTTTGAAATTTAAGAGGAAAAATAAAGATTATAAATAAGTCAATATGAGAATCCAGCATATTTCTCCTTATTCAAGAAGTTTTCAGAAAGCGTATGAAAGTATAACCAGTTTTATTCCAAAATAATCTGGTTTCTTCTAGCTGCTTAATTATTCCATGTCGCATACATTTTAATTTCACCTTCCATGTTAATGTTGCTGGTGACTTTGTTAGAGTGAGATTTTGCGATCCTCAAACGGAGCAATCCAAGAAAGCTACCGAAACAAGCCCACCATTTCAACAATTAGATTCCTTCATGGGAGGTACTCATCATGTACTTTTATCAAGTCAATTCCTGAAATAAAGCTAATCTGATTTGGTTCATTTTACAACTAAGTGGAAATAGAATTAAACATTTTACTATTAGTCCATGAGATGAAAAAAAAATGAATATGGTGGATGAATGTGTGATAATTTCTTTTTTGTTACTTGCCAGATTATTTAGGTAACAAGGTGCAGGACTGGTTGCAGAAGCAGTTTCCTGGGCCAATCAAAGATGATTATGATCCGAAACAGAGTGAGTTAGCAGTGGCGGTTGCAGCAGCAGCATATTCCATTTGCACACTGGAAGAAGCTGAAACAAGGCACAGAAGAAAGGTGAGAGAGGAGCTTGAATTGTCAAGGACAAAGTCAAAGAGTGTAAAAGAAGATACCGTAACTAGGCTGCCAAGTTCTGCTAGACTAACCAGAGGTCTCTCCAGCAAAGACCAGAGAAAAGCAGGTAAATCTTATCACCGGATGTAAATTATCACAATGATATATGTTTTGAGAAAGAGAATAATGAATTGAATGTTTTTCAGGTGAAACTTCTTTTAGAAATTTGGCAGAGGTGGAAAGAAAGCAACACGAAAGTGCTATACCAATCAGCAGGCCAAGTCATTCATCCACTGTAAGAACTATGAGCACTGAGGAGAGAAACCAAAAGCAGCAGGCAAGACACAAGAATGTGGAAACAAGAGCTGATGCTTGGGAGAAAGAACAAATAGAAAAGATCAATAAACGGTAAACTTTACTTGTTTGACTAGTTAAAATGGAAAGGAATTATAAGTTTCTTCAATTGAAGCTTTCCTTGGAATTCTTTTGGTGATAATTAAGCTTCAATCTCAGGTATGAAAAAATGAGATCTTCAATTCTTGCTTGGGAGAATGAGAGGAAGATGCAAACCAAGCTCAAAATGGAAAAGAAAAAGGTTGTGTATTGTTTCATTAGTGCTGTTATTTGATTAAATTAATGACCATCAAAGACTAAAAGCTAGCTTATTGATTGAAATGCAGATCGAATTGGAGCACAAAAGGGCTTTGAACCAACAGCACTACCAGAACAAAATAGCAAGAATTGAGCGTATTGCCGGAGGAGCTAAAGCACAAGTAGAGGAAGAAAGAAGAAACAAGGAGCATGAGATAAAACAAAAGGCAAGAATGATTAGATCAAAAGGAAAGTTTCCTGTCACGTGTTTCTGCTGTTAAACGGGCAGGAAACAATGACTGATTTATGAACTTTGAAACAACTTGTACAAGTTACACCAATGTATGTAATATGCATATTTCCACAATGGGGAAAGGATTTTATCTCTTTTAAGCAATTCAATGTACTTTGTTATTCGTTAATTTTATAAATTATCTTCCAGTTGCAGACATTCTTCTCCCAATCCCTTTTCTGGGGATGTAGTTTTGTTTTCTTTCTCTTTATATATAAGGCAAAATCTCCAAACAGAAGCATGTAGTCTCCATTTGTTGGCAGTAACTACTATATGCAATAGCCAAACCAATTCACCTGTCACAAAATTGTTAGAAGGACGAGACGTTTTACTTCATACATTTGCAAACTTACAGATCAAAACAGAGAATTAATGGAAACTATGTTTTGAAGTAAATTAAATAAAAAAAATGTATATATTTTTTTATGAGTGCCCTTTAATTAAAAGACTGGGGAAAAAATTTGTAGTTAGTTTGATTCATAGGAAGTCCCGTGGTATGACAGAACTACCATTATTTAGTCTGCTGCTGCTAGAACTGCAGAAACAGTGGTTAAAAGAATTAATGAAGAGAAGGTGACAAACACTGAATCAGAGCAAAATGAACTGATGCTTTAACCAAAAAAGTAAAATCATTTTCCAATTTTCGGCGGCCATATTGAAAATTATATTAGTTATAATTCAAAAGGGATTTGACTTTAGTTGGAGAACAATTAAGCTGACTTAATTGAGCGGACAAATTTCATTCATTCTGTAGCCGGTTCATGCACAGATGTACCAAATTATTCAATGACCATTACTCAAGAATAGCTGCACAGCAGTGGAGACTGGGGACTGGGGAATCAGAATTTGTTCTTTGCTTTTCTTCCCAGGTTCCATTCCATTCTCTTTTCATTTTCTCCAACCGTCAATATAATACATATGTGAAAAAACAACATAGGAAAAATAACTTTATGTTAATTAAAGATATCTTTATAGAGAATAAGCAACCAAGTAGTCAACTTGCACTATCGAAAAATAACAAAATAAGGAGAGAAAGAGAAGTTATTTGCTGTCAATCAAAGGCCAATTTTTGAGCACTTTTCACATTTCACTAGTTACTCCATTAGCTATAAATATCACAAGATGTGCATTAGAGACTCTCAAGCTATCGGTTCCTGCTAATATTAGCCATTGCAGTCAAACACTTCCCCAGAGATTGTGGTGAAGATGAGACGGGGAACGGAGTCTCCAGGGAATGGCTACAAAAGCTTTTTTAACCTGCAGTCTAATAAGGATGGTCGAACGAGTGTTTCGAGGTCAACCAGTAAGCATCAGGATTCGAGAGAAGGTGAGTATGCAACTGCAGTGTTAGCAGCTGCATTTGCCATTCAGTCAGTTGAAGAATCCAAAACTCTTCAGAATAAGAACGGACTGCAGCCACATTCTAATGGAGTAACCAGACAACCTTCCTACAACAACGCGAAAGTTCCTGGTAACTGTCAATACTAGATCTCAAATTTAATTTTCTCAAGTTTAAGAATGCCCTTGCAAGAAATTAAAGGGCTAAATAATGTAACAGGTGAAACTTCAATGAGAAAGCCTAAGTTGCAGGACCGCGGGGCACTGGAGACACTTAATCCACCTCGAACACCAAGTCGTTCATCCTCAGATGCTCGCGAGAAAAATGAAAAGTAAATGTTGCTTAAATTATACAAAGTTACAGTAACTGGGTTTAATTGTTTTGCTGATATTGCTACAATGTGAACAAATTTCAGGCATGAGAAGCTAAAATCAGTCGTGGCTTGGGCAAATGAGAAGAAGGAGAAAGCCAAAAATAAAATTGAAAAAACAAAGGTAGTCCTTTAACTTTATGCTGATTAATTTCTTCAACTTTATGAATGCAAATGATGAAGATTTTAAGCACTTCCATATTGTTGAAAATGCAGAGTGACTTGGACCTGAAGTTTTCAAAAAAGCCTGCAACATCGGCAAAAGGAGGAAGATAATATGTATAAAATAAAGCAAAATGTGATGAAGAAAGATGTCAAGGTCAGACAGGGCCTTCAACACACAGAATATTTCTGCAAAATTATGAAGATACAGACATTGACTCCTTCAAGAGACTATACCTGAGTTTGTATTTTGATTTGTCATCTGTGTATTTTTGAGTTGTTTTAATAAAATTAACATAAAGCTTCATATAAAAAATAGCATTAGCTTCAACTTTGTAACAGACGGTGGAGAGATTGATTTTACTTCTGAACTGGCCAATCAAATGCAGAACCATCTTTTCATGAATGATACGTATAGGTATCATCTTTGAAAAAAGTAGATAACTTTACAAATGGGAATCAGCAATTAAAAAGTTTGAGAAAATTCCGAACAATCCTGGAAAAAGGTGCTGGTGAAAATTGAGTTGAGTGCTGTTCCTTTTATTGTTGGCATCAAATTCTTGCATTTGCTGGCTGAAAATTAAAAGCTCTTTGAAGATACTTTTTTATTATATATAAGTCACAAACTCAAAGTTGATGGAATTTAACAACCTGGTGTCTGCTGTATCACATCATTAATTTGATATTATTTTGTATTCGTCATAGTAATGGAATAGAAAATAGACGGTAGATGTAGCATTTTATGCCAACTATTCTAGATGGGATTCGAATTCAGGTACCGTACTCTTGATTCGTTTCCCAAGATGAAGTCCTAGATTCATATTAAGAGGAAAGTGGTATGGGATATTACAGTAGAGAAGCGTGAGTTTGCTAAGAATGGCGGTTGATCATTTCATTTTTATATATCAGAAACCTCTCCAAATTTAATTGAAAACATTTAATGTAATATAGCCTGAAAATTATTTACAGAGGAAGGAAACATTGCATTTAATTGACAAAGCCTCAGGGTACAATGATTGAAGCAGGCCCCAACCTTATCACAACTGTGTCCAGCAATTCTTCAAGTCATTGCAGTATATATTGATATTAACATCAACTGGGAGATTGTTCTTCACTAGATACTGAGGATGTCCACTTATAATATTATTGGCTTCAAATCTGTTTTATAAATAAATTAGCTTACCTATAATTGTAGGGTGTGCATTTACTTATCGAATAAAAGGATGTAGAGGGTTTAAATTAATCATCTTTGTTACATCACCTCTCAATTCATGGGTGTAAACAAATTTGTCTAAACCACGTAAAATGATCTTTCATTTACTTTTTTTGCTTGATTATCGTATTTGCCCGTCCAATAATATATAGTTAATATTTGCTCACTGTTGGAAACAAAATTTATTCATACGTTCTGGCTGATTAGACACCATGGAATATGACTTTTAACTGTGAAAACATTTACATTTTTTTTAAATAAAAGAAGATAAAGAAAACCTGAGTTCGTGTTGAGTCTTGGGTGTATTATTCAAGAAGTTTTGAGTTCGAGTCCATCTTTGATCGCAAATAGGGATAGCTACTAGGGGTGTTCAAAAAAATACAGAAATTGAACCGAATTTTCAGTTCGGTTTCAGTTTAAAGAAATTAAAAAACCGAATTTTCAGTTCGGTTACTGGTTTGGGAGAATATGAGAAACGGTTAACTAAAACCGATTTATTATAAAAAATATAAAATTAAAAAAAATCCGATTAACCGATTTGGTTTCGGTTCAAGAAAATCTCTGAACTGAAAAACCAGTTCGGCTCACAAAATTAGTTTTTAACTGATTTTGAACACTCCTTGTAGCCGCTAGAACTCTTACCTAGCCGGTGGTTCTAGAGTCCCAAGAAATTAATTGAGATACGTATAAACTGATCCGAACACTCCGATTATTAAACTTAATTGGGTTTTGTCCCAGAAGTGTTAATAATGTACAGATACAAAGAAGGAAGATATTAAAGAAATTAAACATGGGAGCGTTGGGATTGTTGAAGAGTGTTCTAATGAGAGAAAAAGATTGATGGGGACACGATGGATTGGTGGCCATGGAGAGGACCATGTACAGCTCTATGGAAGGAAGTGATATCTTGAGATTGTGGCAATATTCATCTGTCCCACAATTCAATTTCTGGTTCACTACTTCTTCAACTGCAGAAAGGTTTCTGAATTTTCTATTTTGAAGATGGATGTGACTTCTAAATGATTGGAAAGCTTTGTTTCTATCAATATTACCCCCATGGACACGATTATATTATACATATAATTGAAATTTTGAAATGATATAATCAAATTTAACATTATGGTTGATTGAGCTAGAAATGAAGATATAGTATATTGGGAACTCGGATGGAGTGAAAAGGACAATGTGTTAAATCTCGGTAATGTTAGCTTTGGCCAACTGAAAACATTAATTGTTTTGATGAAATTTTTGACTCTGTAATATGAAGTATAAATGGATTGGGGAATGAGGAAAATGTGTACCAGGATTAATTTCGAATAGTCCACAACCATATAATTCTCACCAACAGGATCTACTCTATTAATTATCAAATATATTTTATAACTCTCTCTCTTCCACCAGGCCCCCTACCATCCTTTCCATTGATCAACTTTCTTCTATTTTATGGGGACCCTTAAGACAATGCATAGCCATTTGCATGGTTAAAGGTCGTTTTTATGTTTTTAAAGATTACAGGGTTTGACAGGGACTCTAATTTCAAACTCAAGATTGCGAAATAAGTATAGAGATTTCTGGGTTATAAAAGAAAATTAATTAATTGGCTTAAGAGTTTAGGTATATTTAGAGCATAATAATTCTAAAGAATTAAACCACAAATGTTAATATAAAAAATTAATGGTTGCAGGATAAAATGATAATGAAGGCACGGCAAATCTGATTCTCTCTGAGGAAAGTTTTGGTCACCACATGTTGAGTGTTAAATCTCTATCAAACTTCAAACCAAATGTGACTTGACGAAGGGGACCAAATATAAAAACCCTAAACTTAATACTCAACCTTCTGTTCACTGAAAGAAAAGAGATTCTTTAGTTCTTCAATTATCATCATCATGAGTCAGTGCACAGTACCAAATTGGAATCTAAGGCACCAACAAAGACAAGAACAAGTCCAAGGAGAAGAAGGAATTAACAGATCTTCTCACGTTCAACACAATACTTCTTCTACTCATCACCTTTCTCCCATGTATGCTCAGTACTGCAACTCCTCCTCCTACCATTTTCTTTCTCTTTTATTTTCTTTTTGGCTTTCCTCATAAAGTTTTACTATTTAACTTGATAAATGAAGTGCAGATGAATTTAATTCTTCCTTTTGAACAGATCTTTCAAACGCTATTTTCGAAGAATATTCAACAAGAACTTTTGGAATTATTTGTTGATATTCGTTTATATCCAAAAGAAGATCTTCGGTTTATGCTTTGTTTACATCTTTTTTCTCACGTTTAAAACAACCCATATCTCATCATAATAAAGCGCATATACTCCTCCTTTAAATTCCTGCTGTGCATAAATTCCTCTTTTAACTTGTTCATGTAACAGTTTTTGAGCTTTTAATTTAGCAGTACTGGTAATTCTTTGAATCCTTCTTCTATGTATAAATTGACTTCATTCTTCAGTTTCCGTACTCGGGATAATTAAATATGTTCTTCTTAATGTCATTTCAGATTTTTAATTATTTTTTTCTGCAGTTCACAAATAACTTTTTGTTAAGCTTTTCTTGTTTCCTTGTTCCAAGAGTTTTCTTTCTCTTCTCAAGTTTGGTCTCTCATCCCATCACTTCAAATAAATTAAAAATCGTTCACATAAATTAACTCCATTGGAGAAAAATAGTATTAATCTTTCTTCTACTTTCACTGATCTTAATGGGATTTAATTATCTCCTTAATCAGTAAGTACAGGAAGAGTGTCTCTCTTTTTCACTCAATTTGTCTCTTCGTTAAATTAGTTTTCTTCCTAAAGGTATGATGTACCATTCCTTTATTTCTTACCTACACTTCTTTTCAATCATTTTCTCATTAATATCATCATTCTTTACATTCTCAACCCAGATAACAAAATAAATAATTATATCTTAGATTTTCTTGTTCACCAAATTAATCATTCGTTAATTATATTTTATTATTTTGGTTGACTTTCTTATTCAAAGTGTTCTTGAAACTCAGGTCCAACTATGAAGTTGCAGAACTAATATGGCAGAATGGCCAGCAAGCCATGAATGGGCTTGGTGGGCCTCCGACAAAGCCCACATGGCTGGGTAGGTCCAGTGACACACTAGAGTCCATAGTTCACCAAGCCACCACCACCACCACCACCACCTCCCACAATCAAAATCAAAATCAAAATTTACTCCCACATCATCATGACCACCACAACAATACCCCGGTTAAAATGACCTCCATGGTTGCTACTTCAGCCGGGAAGTGGCCTGAGAGCCCTGGCAAGGCTGCGGCGGTGCCGCGGGGGCTGCTGAAGAAACGTCCGCGGGTAGATTCCGATCAGTGTGGAAGAAATTTTGTTAGTGTTAGTATGCAAGAAGATCAAAGGGTGTTAGATAGAAGTGGTTGTCCAAGTGCTAGTGTAACATTTTGTAGGGACAATGACACAACTATGATGACCTGGCCTTCTTATGAATCTCCAAGGAGTTTGGGCTTCAAGGCAAAAACTAACGATGAAGACTCTGCTTCTCATGGTGGATCGGTAAAATTAATTAATCAAATTCTCATGCAGAAATAGTTAATTCTGCTAATTTATAACAATTTTTTTTTTTTCTGATATTGCATTCATTATTTCATGGATATATAGGAAAACCAAGATGAAGATCATGACAACAAAACTGAAACAGGGCGATCCCACTCATCAAGACGAACCCGAGCCGCTACTGTTCACAATCAGTCCGAGCGGGTAAATTATTATATAACGATTATTTCCATGCTTTTTCATAAATATTATTTCCATGCTCAATTCAATGTCATTTATGTAGAGACGAAGAGATAGGATCAATCAAAAGATGAAAGCCCTTCAAAGGCTAGTCCCTAATGCATGTAAGGTAAGTATAATATCAATAACTTTCAAATTTTCGTGTTTTAAGAACACATGTTAAAGATTAAATCGATGGTTTTAACGGTTGCATAAACTAAATACAGACCGATAAAGCTTCAATGTTGGATGAGGTGATAGACTACTTAAAAAACCTGCAAGCACAAGTTCGAATGATGAGTAGTATGAGGAATGTTAACAACATGCCCCAAATGATGATGCCTTTTGGAATGCAGCAGCATCTTCAAATGTCTATGCTAGCACGCATGGCGGCTGCCGGCATGGGAGCCGTTGGACTGGGGACGATGGGCATGGGAACAATGCTTGACATCAACTCTATGGCTCGCGCCGCCGCTCCTCCACTGCTCCACCACCCTTCTACGGCGACTCCCGCCCCATTTCTTCCCTCTCCCTTTATCATGCCCTCCATGATTCCGGCAGGCTCTCCAGCTCAAGCAAATTCTTCAGACCCCAGTGAGACAAGTGCCCCAGTTTCTTTGCCTGATCCCTATTGCGCTTTGTTCGCACAGGTATGTAAATTTACAAGTGTGACATTTCGTATTAAAAGTTCGTGTTCATTGGTGTTTTATTTTTTGGTTTTGGTGCAGTCAATGAATATGGAGTTGTACAATAAGATGGCAGCGCTTTACACGCAACAAGGCAATCAGGGCGATACAAAGGCGATGAACTTTCCATCGTCGGCGCAGCAGTCCAACCCTGTGCAAGGGGATTGAAAAGAACAAGTCATGGAATATAATAGAGTCAGAAGAAATCTTGAAGATGGTACAATTAAGCATGGCCTTACTGCTCTAGATTATGATCGACTTTGAATAGTGTTTGTATCCTATATTGACTGATAAATCTGTTGTGTAAATTTGCGGCCTGCAATGTATTTGATTTTTCTATTACCATAAACTTCGTTATTTGTGATCTTAATCATGCCTTTTCTACAATTTTAGGACTATTCCAAAGTGGGTTGTATCATAAATAAAAAGTTAAAATTAATTAGAGAATTAACAGTTTTTAATTGTACTGTTAAATGTTTGGAGTAGGGTGGGGACTGGGTCCATGGAATGAACATGGAGTCATGCATCCTTAATTTGTATTTAATGGCATGCAGACCCAGTCTGACAGTGGTCGTTTACAGCCTTTGGAGAATCCATTTATTGGCATGTCCAATCAGTTTATGATCCATCAGTCTATATATGCACATTCATACCACTGTACATGAGGAAATTAACTTTCACACTCCTTTCTTGCTACTAGTGTGAAGTTTCTGAAGTCTAGACTAATTTCTTGACGTGAAAAACAATTTTTTTTTTAATTTCTTTACAAGAAAGAATTGATCTTGGTTAAATGGGCCAACAATCTATACATAGGAACCAATTAGTTCGCAGCATGATGTGGTACTTAATTTCTTCAATGCCCAGATACTCGAAGCTCTTTATTTCTAATAAATTCAGGTTTCATCAGAAGTTTCAGTGCTCCATCAAGCAACCCTTTGACCCTTATAGCAATTAGCAGCTTGTATGTTGCTCATTTTGAAGGACGATTTGCCATAATAAAATTAATTAATATATAGATGTAGCCAAAATTAGAGTTGACAAAAGCTATATATAAGTATAATATGCAACTACATGAATGCCGATATTCTTACTATGATGAGGACTTTGAGCAATAAGGGAAGACACATTTTTCTTTTAAAAAAAGTCATTGAAAGGTCGTTCTCATGAATTCTACATCAAAGCCTGCATGCTACCCTGTAATGGTGCACTATTTGAAGCTAGCTAGCTAGTTCTTTGAATCTCTTCAACTTCTCTCTGTAGCTGAAATGTTGAAGGTCCGGTAATTGTAAGCATCTCCACGTGCAATTGTTTTCGGGGACCAAGCCAACAACGCTTCAACTACCATTTTCATTCTCACTCTCAATTAAAACATCACATTCATGACTTATCCCCTTAAGCTCACGCGTCTTCCAATCACAATATACATATATTATGAATTGCCTTCTGGTTCTAACTAGAATACCCTAGAGTTTGTATGTAGAATATATAATATTTTACATCAAGGCCATGAATGCTGTGAGTACACCGACGCCAAGTCCCGGTGTCAGTGCAAAGAGGCCATGTATATTATCTGAAAGATTAAATTTTAACATATGAGACAATGGTCTCTTGTGTAAAATAAACTGTACCAAACTCAAATGGAGACATAATATACATACGGAGATATTGAAATATATGCAACATGTGTATGCATAACATATAGAATTCGAATTAAAATCTGTTTCAACATGAAAACAAAACCATTATGTATAATGTGATTAAGAGATACATGTACTTAAAAAAGGAATTTGGAAAGTAAATTATTGTACTCTGGCAAAGTGCGTATACATGAAAACATTATTAGTTTGTCATGATGATTGATGAAGACTTGTCATCTCGCAAAACAGACGTTAATATTTATAGGGACACAGTTGGTTTATAGCTTCATAGGATAGGTTTTGTTACTTTGCTGGTACAAGGGGACAGTATTTTGATCGATAGACTTATAATTTGGAAGTTTAGGAAAGAACAGAAGACAAGATCAACATCATGATTCATCAGTCTGAATAATTCTCGAGAAGATAAAGATAGCTGATCAACAATGCCGTGGTTCTTGCCAACACGCCCTTGTGATTTGTTTTCCTCTCATTCCCTTATAAATATATGCATGAGAGCGACTCGATTGAGAGGGACTTAACTGGATTGCTGATAGAAATGCAGTTTTGTGTTGATTAATCTAATCCAGTCATTGATATTTCCCCATCAAACCTTTCTGGGAAATATTCCTCAGCTGCAAAGGCAATGCGCACATCAGTCTCATGTGGAACAGAAACGAGATAACATTCAAGTTGCTTCATGTGTAATTGGCCTGAGAGGGAGAGGGCATCGTGATCCACCCAACTGGTTCTATGTTTGGAATCATATACTTGGTCAACTAAAAATTGTATAATGACTGAGGTGTCTAAACTAGTTTACGCGTATCTCAACTAATTTTCAGAATCCATTGAACACCTTATAAGCTTAATGTTCCAAGTTAAACTACAAATAATATGATAGACGATCCCAAGGTAGTTTGAATCCAGAAAGTTAATGAAGTGAACAAATCTTCTTGACCGGCCAACCACTTAGAGTTAAAATATGAATAGGTATTGTTCGCTTTATACCCTGACTCACACATGTTAAACACTTTTAATAAGTTAAATGAACCCAAACATTATAAACAGAATTCCAAATTCATCCACAAGTGTGTCATTATCTATAATAAGATTAGTGATAATGTGATTAAGCACCTTGTTCACATTTAATCGCTCAAGAAGACCAGAAGTAAAGGATAAGTACTACACCATAGAAGTTGAAATCATAAATATTGCAGAAAAGATAGGGATTGACTCTTAAGATTAGGTCACATCCAGGATCCAACATATTATTTGGCACCACTTGTATGTTGTGGTCATACCCCCATATGGCTAATTTGTTAGGGGACCGTATAATATCATCTCGTTCACATTTTCACCTTTGGTTTAGTTGAGCAAAAGTTTCAGATAGAATTGACTTATATACAACTTCGTGTTTAAGTCATCCAAGAAAATCTTGAGTAGAATAGATATATCATATCGGTTATATGTTCGTCCAATTAAAAATTTTCATATATTAAAAAATTAGGTTATTTTTGTGTAAATTTGAGTCAATGAGTCTGGTATTTGTTCTCTCCTTAATAATTGCCACGACAATTACTTGTATTTAAAAATGAATACAGATATTACGATTTTTCTTTGTTGGATTGACATACAAATGATGTAATACATTTATCTGATATAAATTATTTTAAAAACTTTATTTTTTTTGGTATTCGAGGATGTATGGGCCAATTTACGCGTGTCTTGATTATTATCCCGAGATCCTGAAGTTAACAGCCAGATAAAACCTCTAATGGTTACCCCTTATTAATAGTTGTGGAGATTCGAATCAGAACATTTTAAATAATATATCCAAGAATTCCAAATGAACCGTCAAACTATTAAGATGGTTTTTTTTTTAAAAAAAAAAAAAAAACCAGGGTAATTCTTGAATACTTGGAGGGACCAATGGGCCCCTTTGTCACAGGCTGGAAACAGAAGATTTGTTGAATGCATATTTGTTTTTGAAGACATGGAACAGATTGCCACCTTTAGTAGGAGAGTGACTTATCACTTCCTCAATTTCTATTTTATCCCTTTTCAATCCCATCTCATCAATTCATTCTTCCTCATATTTGGAGTGACTGAATGCGACCTACAATTTTGATGCTCATAATTTTTTTTTTTTGGTAATTGGGGTGTTTGTGTCAACTTGCATGCACTTTAACTAATCCCTAAGATTCATTGAACATCATACAAATCCAATGGATCAAGTAAGTCACAAAAGTAATAGGTAACCACTTTGCGAGACTCGAATACAAGACCTCTAGATAATTCACTCAGATGATTAAAGTTTTGCCATGCGGCCACAAAGTTGATGGTTTGCCAAAACACGTTTTAGGGTTCCTTTTTTTTCTAAAACTTTCGTTAATGAGATCTCAAGTCTAGATTATAATAAAAATGGTCATTCAAGACATTTATTTCATGCAATTGTTTTTTTTTAACAATAGATAAATAAAAGTTATTATAAAAGATAAAAAAAAATAACAACAAAAATATAGCATGATTAAAGTTTATGACACAATTAAAACAAAATTATAAATGAGTTAAATGAATTAAGCATGAGTTAAATACATCACAGACATGGTGAGTCATGTTATAACATAAATATGATACATTTATTAAACGAGTAATTGTATCATTCATACTCTAATCCAAGTTGGGACTTGTAACAAAACATAGTTCATATTCTGGTAGGTTTAGAAAGTAGATCCATTTTCTGTTTCTTGAACACACAACTAGTAAATGTTATGAGTGTTTAGCATTCTCTTGTTAGGTTCAAGACTGGGCTTAGAATTTAGAGGTCTACATAACATAAAATATGACATAGCTCCAGCTTGAGTTTGGGCTCTACATACAGGCTCAGATATCAAACTGCCCAGCTGCAAATCACAGTGTTTGCAATTCTTTGAATCTCCAAAATTTCACCCTTACAATGACAAGTTGACAAGTCCTAGGAGTCTTATATTATACATATTCTCTTCTAATGCATTTGACAGGAAAAGCGGGATAAAAAATTCAACAAAGGAATAAGATAAAGAAAAGAGAAAACCACTCTTCATCAAACCAATATGAAAAACAGATACACACAGTTAAAGTACTTCTCAAGAACTTTCAGAACTTAATTCAATCTCTCCTAGTTATGCCACTGCAACACTTTTTTTTTTTTTTTTTAACATTTAAAATTAATTTACACAAAGCAGCTAAGCTTAAGGAACTCAATCTATTACCACAGTTTTGGTATCCAGAAGAGAAATCAAATTTTCAAAAGCCCCCACTAATGCCTTCACCTTACTCTTCCTGGTCTTCACTAATTCACTTACAGTTTCTTCAATCACATTATTTGACAAATTAATGCCACGATTTTTTTCCTCCTTTATCACATCTTGTTGTCTCAAAACATCATTCTTCGATTCTGTTTCTGAACCGCCAACCTCATCTCCCTCAGATTCTCGTTTCTCATGGGTTTTTAAGCTAACATCATCATCACCTTCACCATCTTGGTTGTCCCCAATCGCCCTTTGCCTAAATTTCAGTCTCCTTGGAGTATTATCCTCAGGCTGAAGCTCAATCACCTTTCCTCTTCGAAAACTTAGCATTAGGATTGGACCACATTCATCTTTCAAGCTAATTGTTCCACCTTTTTTATGCCTATTCTCAAATTCCTTCTCCAAGTCTGATATTAGGATTTCGGTATCAGTTTCACCATTTATAGAGGAGGTATAACCATATGAAGACCATGATGCCAATGAAGATGTATATGATCGAGCAACCACAGTTCCAAATGGAGTGCCTTGCAAGTCTTTCTCCTGGGGAGATGAAGGCCGGGATGGAAGTGATTGAGTATCATTATTTTTATTCTGAGTCCTTCTGGCATAAATTCTCTTTTGAGTACTTCTGGCATAGATTCTCTTCCGACTATGTCTCAAGTTTTTCTTCCCCACAGCTTTCCAACTAGCATCAGTTATACCATTTTCACTGTCACCAAATGCCCTTTGCTTAAATTTTAGCCTCCTTGGAGTAATATCCACAGGCTGAAGGTCAATCACCTTTCCTCTTCTGAAAGCGAGCCTTTGGCCCAGATCACTGTCATCTTTCAAGCTGGTTGTTCCACCTTTCCACCGCCTATTCTTGAGTTCCTTTTCCAAGTCTGATATTTGGTTTTCAAGTTCAGTTTCGCTATGCATAGACAAAGATGCCAATGAAGATGTATCAGACCGAGTTCCAAGTCGAGTAGCCCTTGAGCTTTTTCTCTTAGAAGTTGGTGGCCAGGATCGACGCGATTGTTTGGCATGAATTTTTTTTTCACTATGTCTAGAGTTCCACTTTCCAGAGGGTGGAGTCAATTGAGCAGTACGAGTTCCATTTTGAACAGTGTTGAAGATTTTGTCATCAGGGAATGCAGGTGAGGATGGAGACAAGTCAATTGCAGGAACGTCATTTTTAATGGGAGTCAAATTTTTTTCCTCAGCATTTTGTCCAACCACAGGCAAATTGTTCTCTGTTAAATCCTCCCTACGGGGTTGCTCAGGTTCAGGTTTTCTTCTAGTCTTCTTACTCACACGAGAAATTTTATTCAGGTGTTTAGAGTTTTTAACATTCCAGCTCGAAGATCTCATGAGAGGAAGTTTAGCAGATGAAGAAACGGATGATGGCTCAGCAACCTTTCCCTTGCCCTTTCCAGAGCTCCTCATATCTTTGCTTCTGTTGTTCTTGCTTTTGACTTTTGTTTTGATGCTCGAACTTCCTGGTGGACTCATTAAAAGATTCATTTCATGGCTTTTTCTTCTACTTCTGTCTCCTCCACCATTTGAAAATCGCTGCGTTGGGAGAGAAGATTGCTTTGATAGATTAGATTTCCTCTTAGGATCAAATGCATGTTTCACTGAAACATCTATTTTCTTTTCCTTGAGAGGTGATGAAACCAAAACAGTTTCTTCCTTGCTCATTGCTGATATGAATGCATCAACAATGGCTTCATCGCGTTTGGATATCTTAGTCTCCTTGCTATTTCTAGCTTTTCTGTCTCCTCCAACATTTGAACAAATATGGATGGGGAGAGAAGATTGCTTTGATAAATGAGGCAACATAGGCTTATTCATTGGATTGCTAGCATGTTTCACCCAAAAATCTGTTTCCTTGAGAGGTGATGAAACTACTCCCTTGTCAATGCAAACATCAAGTTTGAACAACTCAATATCCTTGCTTTTCCTAATTTTTCTGTCACCTTCACCAATTGAATATCTCAAATTTGGGAGAGAGGATCGCTTTGGCAGCTTCAGCTTCATCTTTGGATCACTATTATGTCTCACCAAGCCGTTTGTTCCCTTTAGAGTTGATGATGAAACAACTCTCTTGACAGTGTGATCATCAAGTTTCCGTGCTTTCAAACTGAGAGAATGTGTACGACTAAGTGCCAATTTCTTCTTTCTCAGATCCTGGCCTTCAGCCAGTGTTTCTGTGTTTGAGATGGAAATGGGGCCTCTTGCCTTTATTTCAAGGGCACGTTCTTCTCCGTATTTGCAAAAATCATGGCACGAACCAAAAGAAGGTCTTAGATAACGAGAAAAAATTTTTGATCCACCATTAAGGTTGTCAACTTTTCCAGTGGAATTACTTGTTCTATGACTAGCTTCATGCTTGATTATATCTGCTATACCCAGGATATTGATTCTCTCCTTAGTCATTAGTTACCAAACAAGTTAACAGAATCAGAATCCTGCAGCGTTTAGACTCTATTCAGAGAGAGAAAAACAAGGAAAATGGGGTGATAAAAAAAATAAAAATGGAAAGTTAAAGCAAGGTGCTTACCAAGAATCTGATACAGATAAGGAGCAGCAAGTATCCCGAACTCTGAAAACTTCACAAAGTTTGTCAGACTGAAAAAAAAAAAATGAATCAAGATTTTGTGGTACTCAAAATCTTCCAAAGAAGAAATGCTGCATGTTACTAAATCTAAAACCACAGAAAGAAAGCTTTTGGGGTGTTCGAAGAAGGGTATAAGAAAACTATATCTGCACGGAATAATCAGATGGGAAAAAAAGATAAGAAAAGGAAAAATGGTGGATTGATAACATTCATTCCTTCGTTCCTTAAATTCAGCATATCAAACAAAAAAGCTACACATCCTAAACAATGCATATGTGAGTGTGAAACCATGAAGTGTTCAGAATTATGGTGCATTGGAATGTCATGAACAATAAAATGCTTGAATGCCCCATTACATTTTGTAGATAAATGTAATCCCAAACTCAAAATCTCTTGTGATAATTAGAGAAATTGTAGCCATTAACAAACTTTATGCTAAGAATCTGAAACTACCACCTTTCATTCAATCTTATGAAATGATTCTTTTTACCACAAGATTCAGTGACGATTTTAACATCCAAAAGATTGTTAAAATTTGTTCAATTCTCTCCATTAACAATTTGAAAAACTATTTATTTCCAATTACATGTCGAAAAAATATCCGTATTCTATATGCTTAATGAACAATCACATTTATCAAAAAACTAATACCGGACCATTTTCTTTTCACTTATCAAAAGCTCATTCCAGGAGAACAAATACCCCATCAACAGCCATATTCATTAGCAAAAGAAGTCAAAACCCATTTGCAGTTTGCCAAGAAAACATTAAAAATAAATAAATAAATAAAATTGATAGAAAAAAAACTTACCTTTGAGTCGAAATTCTTTCTTCATCAAAGTAGGAATCCCTACAAAAACGTGGTGGCAATGCAAAACCACGGCAAATCAAGGCACCAGGAGAGAAACAATTAAGTGTGTGTGGTCTCTAGCCGCTTTTGGTTGAAGAAAAATGGAACCATCCAAAGAAAGTCTCTCTTTTTGAAGGGCATTTTTTTCTCACATATTTTGTTTGAAGGAGAGAGACAGAGAAAAAGAGAAGGAGATAGACCAAAGAGACAAGAAGAAAAGGTCGTAGTCCATTATGGGCAATGACAGCCTCAGCCGTCACTGGCTTAACTATCTATAGAAATTATATCCACGCCATTAAAGGAATGAAGTAGAGGCTAATCTTAATTATCAACACGAAACAAAATATCCAACAAATCTATCTTCAATATTTAGGTGTTGCCAACTGAAAATTGTGATTACCAAGTAATCTTTATGAGATTGTTTTCATAGTCAAGAGTGGCTCATTCACCTACAGCTTCAATTAAAATTGTAGACATCCATTTGGCCACCTTGGATCCTTTCTCTTTCTCTCTAGTCTATAACGGATTAAATGCGGTTCCCAATTCCCATTGCAATAATGGCATCCAAGAGCTAAGCCTCTCTTCATCAAGAGCTGACCATTTGGAGTTAAATAAAAGGCGTGAGAGCTTCAACCATAAAAGCAGTTTCATTTTATATGATTTTTGCAAGAATTATTACTAATATAGTTTTCTTTCGACCCCATCGCATTATAAATAAATGTCCAATGGCTTTAATCAGTGTTAGNTTTATTTCCAATTACATGTCGAAAAAATATCCGTATTCTATATGCTTAATGAACAATCACATTTATCAAAAAACTAATACCGGACCATTTTCTTTTCACTTATCAAAAGCTCATTCTAGGAGAACAAATATCCCATCAACAGCCACATTCATTAGCAAAACAAGTCAAAACCCATTTGCAGTTTGCCAAGAAAACATTAAAAATAAATAAATAAATAAAATTGATAGAAAAAAAACTTACCTTTGAGTCGAAATTCTTTCTTCATCAAAGTAGGAATCCCGACAAAAACGTGGTGGCAATGCAAAACCACGGCAAATCAAGGCGCCAGGAGAGAAACAATTAAGTGTGTGTGGTCTCTAGCTGCTTTTGGTTGAAGAAAAATGGAACCCTCCAAAGAAAGTCTCTCTTTTTGAAGGGCATTTTTTTTCTCACATATTTTGTTTGAAGGAGAGAGACAGAGAAAAAGAGAAGGAGACAGACCAAAGAGACAAGGAGAAAAGGTCGTAGTCCATTATGGGCAATGACAGCCTCAGCCGTCACTGGCTTAACTATCTATAGAAATTATATCCACGCCATTAAAGGAATGAAGGAGAGGCTAATCTTAATTATCAACACGAAACAAAATAACCAACAAATCTATCTTCAATATTTAGGTGTTGCCAACTGAAAATTGTGATTACCAAGTAATCTTTATGAGATTGTTTTCATAGTCAAGAGTGGCTCATTCACCTACAGCTTCAATTAAAATTGTAGACATCCATTTGGCCACCTTGGATCCTTTCTCTTTCTCTCTAGTCTATAACGGATTAAATGCGGTTCCCAATTCCCATTGCAATAATGGCATCCAAGAGCTAAGCCTCTCTTCATCAAGTGCTGACCATTTGGAGTTAAATAAAAGGCGTGAGAGCTTCAACCATAAAAGCAGTTTCATTTTATATGATTTTTGCAAGAATTATTACTAATATAGTTTTCTTTCGACCCCATCGCATTATAAATAAATGTCCAATGGCTTTAATCAGTGTTAGCGTTTCGAATAGCCTTTTATGCTTAAAACATGATTATACACATGCATAAAGTGAGATCTCTCAAGCCATAGTCATTCTGCAAATTGCACTCAAAACAATAAGGATGTATCAGCATAAGTCCAACTAGACAGTGAAAGTGAAAATACACGGAGGAAATTCACTATAGGGTTTGTCTTCTTGACAAAGCTATGCTCATATATACATTTAAAAAAAAAAGTAAAACACCACTACAGTACCAAAACAAAAACACAATTGATCCAAGGACCCTCAGTTGCTGCCGAAAATTTCTGGCAACACACTGCAACAGCCATTGGCAGGCAATTGTAACATCCACAGCCATTTCTCAGCCATATGGGAAATTATTTGAGTCATTTCTGATAAAAAGAGAGGCTTATGAAAAAAGATATTTATTACTCCATGGGTTAAACATGCAATCAAGTCAACTTCATTACTCCATGGGTTAAACATGCAATCAAGTCAACTTCTAATACAGGAAGCGTCGTCAAATTGCTGGGAGAAGTGGTCATGCTGCAAGGTTTAAGGAACAAGGGAAAAAACTAGTGGCGACTTATGTGACAATTTCTCTAACCAACCAATCCAAAGTTGGGAAGGCAAAGTACAAGACCAGGAAAGAAGGGATGGCGAACACAAAAGTGATAAGAATGTAAAGGGCCAATATGGCCGCACTGACAGGAATTGCATACAAGATAAAGAGAACGAGTATGATAACCAATGGGAACTTGGCCGTCAGCTGAGCAAAGAAAACCAAGGACTTACGAATGGATAAGTGAATTCTTTCAGCATTAAGGTAGCTACAGAGGATACGGTCATGGCCCCCATCATGGTTGACCTCAGACCGCTGCAAGGAGTGAGTACGAGACGCTCGTCTATTATTCACATGACTAACGTGATTCCTCGCAGCTGAATGTCTATTCGAGGAACAAGCTGGTTGATGACCTCCATCAAAAGAATGGTATGCTTTTGACCTGTCACCATTCATACTTTCGACCATCCAGAGGAGGAAGTAGTTCTTGTGTGGAAACTTGAGATTCCCCTTGCAGACCAACCGCAAAGATAACAGATTACACCAAGGGCAAGAGATAAAAAATGGGAGCTGAAGCGGTAATGTCGGCAATTTCACAACAGCACGCTGCAGGCCTAGAACACAATTCTTGCAGAGGGTGTGGCCACACCACAAAACATAAGGCACATTCTCAACCATATTGAAGAATTCCCAGCATATCGGACATTCCAATCCCTCTTCACCGCTGTTGTTTACAGGAATTTCATCATCTGACAATTCTGAAGAAACTTGACTCAGCTTCAATAAGTCCTTCTTCAATTTGATGGCTCGAGAGAAGGTCCTTGAAGCAAAGCTCCACATGGCAAACTTGTAACACTTTTAAAAAAGTGTACTTGTTTAAGAATGCAACGCGATATAGATATATATTTGAATCTTTCAATTCTTAAGCATAACAATCAAAAGCATCCATATGAATCAAGCCTGAAAATATTTTACATAAATCATTAACAGTTCTAAGTTGCCATGATAAACAATAGAGTACTGCTAATATCTTTAAATTTTTCATTCCAAGTCATGTGTGTCCTTTCGCAAAGTAAAGTACCATAATCCACATGTATATATCTGTAAAAGAATGGTAGATGAAAATTTTGTGATACATAACAATATCTCTAGCTTTATGAGCTTAAATTAAATGAGCTGCTACAAACTCGCTTCCTCTTTAAAACTTCCATTTTCATACATTCCGCACATGAATTTCAAGTTAACACAAAACAATCCTTTAAATAAATTGGAAAAAAAAAATCCTTTAAATAAAGTTTTAAAAGAATTCTAGAATTTATGCTCAACCAAACAAAACATGATGACATTTACACTTCCCCAAATCCCCACAAAGAATTCATCTCATCTGAACATATTTTCAATAAGTAAATGTAAACCAAATTCGAAAGCAAACGAAAAGAGCTGTGTTGTGTTTATTTCGGATTTTCAATTTTCCCACAAGACAGAAATGCCAAACAAGAACAGATTATCCGTAAAAATTATAGATTAGCCGCTCATGAAAAACATGTAAACTAGTAACCATCACATACATTAGAAAGCAAAAACAGAGAAAAGTAATTGAAATTCGAGAATTGAAGAGCTTAGTTATAATTAAAAAAATTCCTTACCAGAAGAAGAAACGTAAACATGGTTGTATGTGTGGGTGAGTCTGAAAGAGTAGGGAAGATTTGTAGAGATAAAAGAGAGTGTGTGCGTGTCTTTATATCTGCGACCCAAGTGCAAGAATTAAGATACAGACGCCTCCTCCCCAGCCATATGCCAAGAAGTGCCGTTCGGTTTCAAAACTACTCAAACGACTACGTTTTTGCTTAATAATCTATTTAAATTCATGATTGTAACGGGCTTTGGACCTACTTTTGACCGAAATTGGAGGGGCCTCGCAGGCCTAAAGTTCTCAATAGGTTTTAGGTTTTGGGCCGATCATTGTCACAAATAGTAGAAAGAAGAAAGATAGGCCGTTAAATACATCTTCTTAATTTGTTTCACAAACGCGATATGGTAGCTTGCATTTGATTAGACGAGACGTATTATTGGGTAGTTAGAATCTATTATAAACTGATCAATTACAAGTTGACACGTCGTATTTGTATGAAAAAATTAGTGAGAAATGTTTATCAGAGTAGTGTTACTCATTAGAAAAATCATGGATCAAGAGTGAAGTCTATGGTCGACACATGTTCAGATAATTGATTAACAAAAAGTTTAGTTGGTTTCATTTATTTTAGGGTTTCTTATAATAATAACCCATGTGTTCGGCTTTTTGATAGTGAGCCCTCACTGGTTTCGAAAATATAACTTTAGCCCTCATGTGTTTGGTCTTTTTTGAATTGAGCACCCATTAGTTTTAGAAATGTTATCAATTCAACATTCATATTTGTCAACAATTTTATTAATATAACATCCAAAAAATATATTAACCTCTCAACATTATTGACATATTTTGGTAAAAACATTATTTCCTTTAAACTTAAATAGAATAACCTAACGGTATCTAAAAAATAGGAGTTAAGATCGCAATTCTGAAACCAACGGGTGCTCGCTACAAGAGAAAACCAAACATATGGGGGTTAAGGTTGCTTTTCCAAACTCAACAGGTGCTCACTAAAAAAAGGTCAAACAAACGGGATTTGCTACAACAAAAAAAAACCCTTTATTTTATTTATCAGAAGGTGAGGAATAATAATAATATTATTTTTTTAAATAGTCTAAATATGTGCCCTCTACCTTTGATATAATAGAAAGTGCTCTGGACCTGTTTGATTGGGTATATCTATGAAACAAAAGAGTTTAAAGTTATAAACACTTTTGAAATTTAATTTTTTTTTTTTCCTAATTACAACTTAAAAGTTACTTCTAAAATTTTAAATGATCTATTTTTACATTTTTTTAACTTTTTTAAAGTGTTGAAACTTTTAAGCATGTGACTACGACTCTGAAGAAGTTACAATCGAATGAATATTAAATAATACAACCATTTAGTATGTAAATTTATTTTCATATGGAAAAAAAAAGAAAAAAAACCAAGGACACCCACAAATTTATCTTTTAGCAAATTTTGATGTCATGAATCTTAATTTCTTATCTACACACTAAATATTTTGACTAGGAATCAAATTTAAGTTGATAAATATTCAATTATATCTCATAAGAGTAATGTTACGTATTCGAAGTTGGGATCTCAATTTTGAACCTAAAGTATTAATTATGTGATTCTTGATAAGTCAGTTACTACGTTAATTATAAGAAACACAATATTACATCACAAAAATCTTACAATTAATGTGATATTAACACATTAATAATTACATTAATTGAGATCTCTCAACTTTGTATACATAATATTACTATTCTTACAAATATATCCACCATCTTAGCTTAAATTAGGTGAATTGATATATAATTAGACGATGAGACTTAAGCGATAAATTGAATTTATGAAATATATGATGATATTTTTAAACTAAAAACAAAATATTAATAAAAATAAAAGAACGTACACACATTTTTATAGTATACCAAACAGTTGTCCAAAAAAGTACAAATCCTTTTGCAATATACTTATGGCCAAAAATGATTACAATTGTTTCAATCTCTTTGCTTCTAACATTTCCAAACCTAAAATAGAATAATAAAAATTCTTATCACTTTCTTTAAACAATGAGAAAACAAATACTTTGTAAATTATCATAATGTGTGGTCCAAACAAAACCTATATATATATATATATATAGAGAGAGAAATATAAATGGCCATTTATATTAAGAGGTTTCAGGTTGAGTTAAGTTGAGTGAAATGAGGACTTTGAAGAGCTTCCTGAAGCAGTTCATGATCATCCCAACAATCTCTATATGTCTCCAGATTGGATTCGGCATTTACTAAGGCTGATATGCAAAGCCCTTTTCTCCATTCTTCTAAGCGAGGGAATCCGATATTTTCTGCATATTTATCACAGTACTGAAAGAAACACATGCAAAACCAGATAATTAATTAATATTTATAAGTAATTAAAGGTAATAGAGATAAGTAATCAATTAAGGTAACCTCAAAATTAGCGATGTCGTGAGTGTAATGTTTGGGAATGCCAGCAAGATCCCTTGAGTGATAATATTCCTTGATGGAAAGCATCATGTCATCCCATGATGGGAGTGTTCTTTTCCCAGACAGTAGTTGAGCTATCCATTTTGCTTGTGACTCAAAGAAAGGGAACCCTATCAACTGTATATCATCATCATCATCAATCAAACCCCAACACTCATATATATAAAAAAGAAATACCTTGACTTGCTTTTAAATCAAAAGATTTGCATGTGTTAAATATTTCCCATGAAATCAATGACAAAAATATTCCATCTGCTACATAGAATAAGTATGAGAATATAGAAGATTATATATGGATAACAAAAAGATTAATATACCTTTCGAGGAATGCCAACAAAAGAGAGAGAGGGAGCAAGAGAAGGAGGGAAAGTATGCTCATACAAAGGTCCCACTCTGTCATCATCCACAACTACTATTCCTTTTGTGTCAAGAAATGGGAAAGCATATGAATACCTACAACACACATTCATATAATATAAAGTTAAAGTTAAAGGTATACCATTATTAATTAAACATCCATTAATTCAATAAAGATTTTCTACTAACAAAAGCTTCACCTAGCTAGCTATATAAATTATATTATGCATGTCATTAGGTCCCACAGAAGAATCTCCCAGTCAAAAATAAAATGTTCATGATCATAATCTTCCAATCAGATAACTTTTTTGACATTGGAAATCTTTAAGTAAATGGAAGAATTTATATGATAAGGTCAAAGAGTAAAGCTTTGTTTGGAAGTACTGAAAAAAAGTTAATCAAACAGTTAAAGGGTTTCTTTTGCTACTTAAAGTTCGAGAACTACTTATTTAACAAACCTTTTTCATCTAATGTTACTGAAATTCTTTTACAGAATAACATCTAAACATGTTGACCATCATCATTTTACGATCAAATCTGGATAAATTGTATTTCTTCCTTATTCAATTCCTAATTATAAATTACCCTGTGCAATATAGCATAGTATCTGCAATGACCCAAGAGCCGTCTACAAATGTGACCCGTCCATCTTCTCTTAGCAGCTCTATCTGCAACAATTCATTAATTACATAGTTATGTCACATTAATGTCTTAATTTGTAATTAATATGAAACATTAGTCGTTGAAGAAACAGTTAGCTAGAGCCTTACCTGTGGATGAAGATGCAAGTTCTTATGTTTAGATAGAACTTTAGATAAACCCTCAGAAATATTAAGAGATTTTGCACTAAGATGAACTTCCTTTGCCACTTCTACAAGCTCTATCGATATATCTTGTCCACTTAATGAATTCCCAACAACTACCACAACCTGCATTATTAAATTAAGCTATAATATCTTTTAAATTTTCATTTACATTTAGATTTGTGATCCCGAGATTGTTTCTATCGGACTATTATTTTAAATTATATATATTCATTCCAATATAATCTTAGAGAAAAATCTTGTTTTACCTCATTACGAAATGGTTCCGGAACTCTATAAATGTGACTATGAAGTTGCTTCCTTTTCCATGAATCCATTCCTACACATAATTAATAAATTAATCAGCAATGAAAGATAATATATGCATGATTAATTTACATTAATTCATGATCATCAATGTTTTACATTACATACCTTTAATGGAAGGCAACCTCGGGTGAGAATAATGGCCAGTAGCCACAACCACTGCATCAAAAACTTCTTCCACAACTTTCTGATCAGCCTTCTTCTCTTTGCTTTTCACAACCCATTTCAGATCTTTACCGAACTCTCCATAATCCAACATCCCCACATACTCAACCCTGGTGTTAAACCTAATCATCTGCCTCAATCCAAACCACTCACAGAAATCCTTTAGATACAGCCAGAGCTCCCTGTGCCCCGGGAATCTCCTCATGTCTCTTCCTTTCTTCACCACAAATGGGAAGTCAGTGTACCCCATGATCTCTCTCGGCGATATCAGCCTCAGAGATTCGTAAAGACTGCTATGAACCTTGAGAAATTTGTTCCTCCCTAAAGGCTCCTCACTCTCTACGTTAGGATCGTATAACCATTGCCCACCAACATCGTGGTTTTGTTCCAAAACCACAACACAGTGACCCTCTTTTCTCAACTCCCTCGCCGCCACCAGCCCCGATGGTCCGGCACCGATCACGCATACATTCTTTGATTTGAACATTCTTTGATGTTGATCAGAAACCATTGTAGTTTGTGTGAATGAGAAAATTGTGAGTTGTGAATTAATGTGAAACGTGTTTTGGGTTATGGACTTATGGGGTTTTTATAGATGAAATTATAATTAAAAATATTTATAAAAAAAAAGATGATGATATGTTAGAACAGTGAGTGGTTGGCAATCTGGGAGACACACGTGATATTTCAAAATCATGGCTTTGTCTTCATTGAAACTAACACATGACATACTTCCAAATGAAATGCCACTGCACCAATCACTCAAATTAAATTCTCCTTTTTCCAAACTCCAACGAGGTGACTAATTAGCGGTAATTAAAGAAGAATTTAACATATATAATAAGAGTTTTATGACCAAATTAAAGTTGGTAAATAGTAAATGTATTATAATAAGTTAGGTCGTAAGTAGCGATTGGTGGGGTGAGGTGCCAATCGATGTGAGTGCATGCATGAGTAATTAAGATATGTGTTCTTTTATATTTATATGAAGT